TTTACCAAGTGTGTGTATGAGATGCTGCCCTACTGTTACAGTGCGTTTTAAGTTAGGTTGCAAAAGTCATGTGTCCTAGCATATGAGAATTATTAGGTTTGGTGGCATGGGTTCTTATATTTTGTTTTATTAGGCTTGGTTCATAAAAATAGATTCTTCAACCATTTTTGGGATGTCCTCGAGGAAAGGAAGAACTTTTCCTTTATTGGAAAGTTTCCTAATGTTTCATGTTAACCTGCGCACATCTTATAAAGTAGTACTCAATATTTATTGAAAGTTTTTAGTAAAAGTTAGGTTAAGTTAGAGAAAGTTACACCTACCGAAAAACTTACCATCGTAAGGCAAAATAATGAATGATATTGATTCTTTTATCTAAGGATGCAATGTCACAGCTACATAGCTTGTGGGTTAGGTAGCCGCAACATTATCGCCATGGAGCCACTTGAGTTTATTAAAATTCTCCTGTTAATTTTCGTGCCCGAAAACACATTCTTAACACATTTAATGACCCAGAACTGATTAATAGATAGATGCTAGGTGGTGCAAGAATATTATTTGTCGTAGATTTGGAAAGGCCTACTGTGAGGACCACTGCCTTGATAATAACTTTACAATACCAGGACCTCTGCCTGGGAACAGGGAACGCTGCCACGGCACCATAAGGACTTTAAAAATCTTTCTAGTCTTTGTTGTTTTTCACACAAAGGCTGCTCCTTCGTCTTGCTAAGCAGTTTTTTTTTGTTTAAGGTTTATTTACGCCCCTCTAAAATATTGACGGCAATCCCATTTACACAGGCCAACCGGCCGTTAAATTGAATGACACAGGCTTTCGCCTCGTAGGATAACTACACCCGAAGGTTTAATCTAAGTTGACTGACAGTGGGTATAAGGAATGGAACAGTAGAACTCACACCTCATAGAGAAGGTATTTTACATAGTAGAAATGTTTTCGATATAACGGTAAAGTGGTGTATAAAACATTGGTAGTTAGGATGAATTTACAGACTTCGTGAAAGGTATTGTTAAGTGACAAACAAGGAGCGAATTGGTCTGTACTCTGAGATGTAATGCTGAAGGCTGTGTTTTCTATTGTCGCCACCAATTCGACAATGAGTAAGTTCAAGGGAAGGATTTCTCATGAGTTCCCAACATGGCATATAGCCAAGTCTGGTTCTGGCGGCAACTACATCACTGAGCCGAGTCAGACATTTATTCCGGCCGTATTGATATTTTGTGCTAAAATGTTTATCGTAGTGGTGAACACTAGCACTGGCACCTCGCTGTTCACTTTGTTCTTCTTTTATGATTTGATGAACGGCTTTTTTGAGGAGCATCTTGACTCGACCAGTAGTTTTGGTTGAAGCGTCATCAGGGATAGGGAATATGCAGGCGGATTTAGCGAGGTTGTATACATTGTGGTGTTTGTGGAGGCCAATATAAGATGGAATCCATATAAAGTGCATAAGGCGTCCGTCTTCGCCCTTATGAGGCAATGCTGGATTTGTCTCACTAGATCCTGACAGACGGGACGGGGTGAGGTGATCGACTCTAGACCAGAACGAGAATCACTTATCACCAATCCACTCCGCTGCTCGTCCAGCAAGTACAGTAGTCGATGGCTCCCCAAGATGCCCAGTAGTTCACAACTTGTTGTGCTCGCCCAATCCGGTAGGCGACGCATTGCTTTGGCGACACACGTCATTCTGGAATCGGCCGCATAAGCGCAGCCTCCTTCATCCGTAACCTGTAGTGAGCCGTCTTTGTAGACGGCGGTTGAGTCCTCTGGGATGACTGTTGTGATTGATCTCCTGTAGTGATGCTTGTCTTTATATTATTGTAAGGGGGGGTATGTAACAAGCTGCCACCAATGTAACGGCGGGTTTTTCTCTCTTACTACTCTGCCACCCTTTATCTTATACTCTTACTTCTCTTGTCTTAGTTCTTTCAATTGTTCTTTTTTACTTACTGGTTACTGCATAACCTTCGCTCTTTTTGGCAGCATGGATGAGGGTCTAGGCACATGGGTATTGTAATTCTGATATCGTCACTTGGACGGAAATAACGGTGAACTACTGTGGGAGAAATGAATACTCCTAAAATACTCTATGAACAGGTTTATTAATATGAAATCAAAGTGAAAAAGAGACTATTAACATATAACTTCAAGGTGTAACTCCTCGCTTATTGCAGACTCAGTATTTTCTTATTTTTACTTAACAGCAATTACTCAGATCCTGTACTCTTACTTCTCCCAACCTTACTGGTGTTACATTACATTACATAGCAAGGCCAGTTCCTTGGCCCCACTCACAATACATAGCTACATGACAACTCCTTGCAGATTACTGCCACTCCAAGTGGGTACTTCCACTTCACCCACATCTTCTAGTGGAACATTTCATTACAGTTACCAGGCCTTACTCATAGTCCCAAGTGGACAACTTTACTTCTCACACATTACTAGATACTTGGCATTACTGTACACAGTGTACAGTTACAAGACAAACTTACTTATGATACTACACAGACTGTTGGTAGTGCATAGGAGATGCACTCACACACAACACGTTAATACTGAAACCAACAAATACATGGGTCCACTACCCAACATGGGATAATTATTTCCAAACACATACAACAACACTGTGGACATATAACTCCAAGGCATGTCCCAGGGTATAACACTGGCGCCTCTAACAACTGACGACTGCTGTTGTGGTCGGTTGTACTCCGACACGTGGCGAGCATCTGGGGTCCAGCCCCGCAATGTTGATTTGTAGTAAGTTAATCATGTCGAATCACCGACATCGATGCATATATTGATCCCTACTGGTTACCCACCGGCTCAGCAGCCGATGGGGTGATCAAAGGACACTCTGGAATCTGGGAAGCAAACGGGAGAGGACGTCAAGGGACTGGGAAGCATGATGACACCACAAACAAATCTTTCGTCTCGCAACGTCAGACGACATTTACTTTATATTACTTTTTACACTGGGTGAATGACAATTCCACTGTTAAAGCATGAACACTGATAATTCACTGATATTTCACTACATTGACTAAATCAAACTGAATGGCCATAACGGCGGGACACTGGTACATACCTGGGAAGCAAACGGAACAGGATGTCTAGGGACGCTCTCTCCCGCTCGGCAGTGGTGTAGTATATACTCGTGAGTTGCCAGCGATCGCTACTCACGCAATGACAGAAATTACTAAGAAACCAACTGTTACACATTCAAAGATGGCCCTCAGTTGACAAAGGTCTGGCGAATTACTAAAGTTGATATACACAGACTAATTCGAGATTGAGCTTGCCAGTAGAAAGTGGAATAAACGTATTGACAACTGTCTTCAAAGGCGGGACTTACTAGGGGGATCATGACTGTAAACATCGAATGGGAAAAACATGCTTCTTCTAGGGGATAGCTAACCAGCTACCCTTCATGTTTTGCAGTCATAGAGTTCAATAACAATCATTAGTTAAAACAGACTAGCAGTCAACGTGACCATGACACTATTAGATGGTCATCTGTCTTAGTGTCAGATGACTGTTGGGAAGGCGACGGCGGAGTGATGACCCATGGTGCTGGCGCGTCATCTGCCTGAGGAATGTGAATGTTGAGATCTAGGAACACATCAGAATAGGTCCTCTTCTTGCCTCGTCCAGTCAATGGGGCGGGTTTCGAAGGGCATTAGAGAGGTGGTCAGTGAAGGTGGAAGAGATGATGTCTTGAGCTGCCAGCTGGACTTGATAACTTAGGTGGTGGACCCAGGGTAGGCCAGTCTTCACCCCACTGTTTGTTGCTCCACTAGGCAGGGGCTTTGGGGCAATTCTTTCCTCGGTTTATCAATTGATGAATTTTCTTTGATATTAATGATTTTTGCTTGTTGGTGATGTGTTTCTGCGTAAGTATGACTAGTAGAATTGTGATAGTTGGCGCTCTTGCCGGACTTAAGACAGTTGTAGTACATGTGAGGCCTGTTTAGCACTTTGTTTTTCCTCTTTTGTCTGTACAGCATCTTTAGTAGTCTTAGTAGTATTACCTTCATTCTCAAATCCAAAGTGTCTTTTGGTATATCATCCATAGTGAGGATATTTGTACAATTGAAGCGCCGGGGACCACAGGACTCTGTTGTGGCAACATTGGCCATTATGCCAGAATGACGTCAGCTAACTAGGGATCTTGCTAAAACATTAAAAACATCAGCATGAAGGACACGTGGATAATGCAGCAGGGACAGATTACATCCCTTAAAATTGATATTTTTTTGTTAGTATAGTTGTTTATGCATACTTTTCGAGGAAGTCTCTATTACAAAAATTAAAGCAAAATATTGAGTACTCAGTGGAAATCTTTCTATCTTGCCCACCAGAGAAAATCCCGTATATGCTACTTTTTTTAACATATTTTTTGTGGTCATGATGTCCTCCCAGAACAATATCTCAATAACGTGTCTTTAAAAATATTATCGTGTGTGTTCGTACGTACGTACCTCCGACGGTGCCACATCACCGAGTTGGCCAGAACTGCCCGGTACAGGAATTTAACTGGGACTTTACCCGTTGTTATATTATAAAGCACTCTCCTCTTTCACCTCCAGATCCTCTCCCATATAATCACTGCTCGTACTTGTGTCTTCTACATCTTTGTCGTCTCCCGGTTGTCTCGTTTTCGTTAATTTTTCTGAAAGTTTACATTTTCGTTCCAACAGTTCCTCTGAGTTCATTAATCCATTGGGCAATGTTCTGCTTTTATGTTTCATATTTTACTTCTATGTCAATATTACACCTTGATACACTTTGTACCTATTTTCCTACATATAATTCCATTGTTTCAAAGTTGATCTGCTAAATGTAAAACCGTATTGGCTGTCGCTGGATATGTGATATACAGTATAAGTGTACATGTATAGGAGTTTGTGAGAATGTATAGAACTATTGTGTAAATTACATGATGCGTCTAATCTCTTGGCTTTAAATAAAACAATATGTATTCACGAAAATAACGTTTATTGATATCAGCTCTAGAACCACAGGGAAAAGTATAGGGAGCGCTACCCATTTATTGTACCTTAAGTAAATATAAATGATAATTGGATCACAAAAAATAAAACATCTGAACTCTCCACAGCACCGCTCGGCAGCTCCATGTTGTGAAAAGTTTTACCATGATACTGAGGAGAGGAAAGTATAACTATCTAGTTGCCTTAAACTCAACAATTAATCTTTTAATGGTTGTCCATATTCTTCACCAACATTGTGCCATGGGAGCGTGTGCGGGAGAGTCGTGAGCCACACTGAGCCCTGAGAGCCTGTGTAGAGAAATTCCCAAGGACTACACTGTATCATACGGACATTTTGAGTATGATACAGTGACGCCTGTGGGATATATCGATAACAAGTATTATTATAATGGAAATTAGAAGCACTTGCGGTGGACGATGCCTGGACCGGAGTCGTCGTACTCCTCCTTGGTGATCCACATGGTCTGGAAGGTGGACAGAGAGGCCAGGATGGAGCCACCAATCCAGACGGAGTACTTACGCTCGGGAGGAGCAATGATCTTGATCTTGATGGAAGAGGGAGCCAGAGAAGTTAGTTCCTTCTGCATGCGGTCAGCAATACCAGGGTACATGGTGGTACCACCAGACAAGACTTCGTTAGAGTAAAGATCCTTTCTGATGTCAATATCGCACTTCATGATAGAATTGTAAACAAACTCGTGGATTCCAATTGCCTCCATACCGATTAGTGATGGGACGAAGAGGGGTTCAGGTGCACGGAAACGTTCGTTGCCAATGGTAATAATTTGACCGTCGGGGAGTTCATAAGATTTTTCCAGTGAAGACGAAATGGCAGCTTGGCCCATCTCATCATCAAAATCAAGAGCCACGTAACATAACTTCTCCTTAACGTCTCGTACGATCTCACGTTCAGCACTGGTGGTGAAGGAATAACCTCGTTCAGTAAGAATCTTCATAAGGTAATTTGTAAGATCACGACCAGCAATGTCAAGACGAGAGATGGCGTGTGTCAGAGCGAACCCTTCAAAGATGGGTACACAGTGAGTCACTCCGTCTCCAGAGTCAAGGACAATGCCAGTGGTACGACCAGAGGCGTAGAGAGACAACACCGCTTGAATGGCGACATACGTAGTTGGGACTCCGAAGGTTTCAAACATAATTTGAACCATCTTTTCTCTATTAACCTTGGGGTTCATGGGGGCCTCAGTGAGGAGGACAGGGGACTCCTCAGGGGCAACACGCAGTTCGTTGTAGAAAGTGTGATGCCAGATCTTCTCCATGTCGTCCCAGTTGGTGATGATGCCGTGTTCTACAGGATATTTCAAAGTGAGGATACCTCGCTTGCTCTGGGCCTCGTCACCGACGTAGGCGTCCTTCTGACCCATACCGACCATCACACCCTGGTGACGAGGACGGCCGACGATGGAGGGGAAGACAGACCGGGGAGCGTCATCACCGGCGAAGCCAGCCTTGACCATGCCGGAGCCATTGTCCACAACCAGGGGACATGATTCGTCGTCACACATGGTGAACCTTTATCCTGGAAAAAGAATAAAACTTATCAGTCATCCAGATACGGGGAGTCTAATCAGACACACTAATTCAAGTCACTTTTATGTGGTGACAGTAGGTGTTATTAGAAATGATTATTTAGCTCATCAAAGAAGAACTCTTACACACAAAAACACACACACACACACACACACACTGGTCCAGTACATACAACCAGTTGCTTATCGCCTCTTTTACTGCTGATAGTCATATTATACCACGAACTAAATGCCTCTCATCTCCCTCCTTCACCTATTACATCTCCATCATCCTCCCACACCGTCACCAACAAGTATCGTAATTAATTTGTTTGAATATGTTTCTTTCACCATCAAATACTTTTCGTTGCGTTCATTTGCACTGGCACTCCGATAGCTAAGTCTGTTCTGTTTCAGTAGGTGTATCCTCCCGTTGTTATGTATCTATTGATATAAACACTACCACGTGCCAGAAGCTACGAAAATTCAACTCGAATCAAACATCCAATGATTTATTTTACTGTACACTAGCAACCACCTACATCTACGATCACTAAAAACAACAACAATTATTGACTGCATACAAATACTTAAAAAATATATCAACATCTGATAAAAAAACTACTTCATTATCACATACAAACACCTACACGGACTTATCATCATACAACAACAACGACTTAGTTTTTAGGTCTTTATACTCCGTCACGATCAAATTCCAATAATTCACTCTGCTTTATACGTGGAAAGAGAGACATCACCTCTCGTAAACACAGTTCTGTATTGGTGTCAACAAAATGATTGTTCTTATCTGGTGTATGATAGCCTTACAAATTAAGACGTACTTAGACTGAATCACCACCAATCACGTTTACAGAGACGATTTTAACTTCTATTAATATTTTCTACGTTCGCACACCACTTCAACTCACAGTTCACTAACGTTCACTACACCCACGCACACTAACCTGCACCCACACGCGTGTGGATACCTGCCCACACCGGGTAGATAGCAACCTGAGCCTGTAGCAGACTAGAGGCTTTTCTCAGCTCTTGCTTCTTTTATACCGTTTCCCAGCCAAAACCCAGCACCACCCGGGCGTACGTCGGTAAAAATTTGTTCCACATCAGATCCTGGGGGGTGGGGGGGCTTTAGTTCTTCCCAGTGAAGCATTCCACAGTAAATTTATTGCAATTCAAACCAGGGTCAGAGGGGGCAAAGATAACGCCTGAAATCGTGGCCTTCGTACACAGATAAACCCACAAACCCAGAATTAGTTGACAATTACAGGTAACCATAGAGGCATTCATATCCTTGAAGCTAAATACCATGAAACCAAGTGGGTCATGGTAAGTGGCCGTACACCAGTATCAATGAGGTTTTGTTTTTGCGTCCCGTACATTCCTCCGCCTTCAACAGGGTCTTACAAGGCCGCCCACACAAGGTCAAAAGTTTGGCACAAAGTCAAGTTCTGATTATCGTCTTGCCGAAGGTAATGTTCAACGTCCTCGAATAAGAACGGTAACAACAGTACTACAGACGATTGTTTTAAGTCCTTAGCCAATCAAGAGATCACAGAAGTTTCGGTTAAGTCGTCGAGGATTAACGCAGGTGGTTCAAGGCTTTCTGACAGTGATAGCCTTCGTAACTCATCCCCTCCTCACCCCACCCTCCTCACCCCCCTCCTCACCCCTTTCACCTCACCCCCCTCCCCATCGTTACCTCTCCTTGCCTGTCATGTGAATGTAGTATCTTCTGTTAGACGTAAAGTAACAAGGAGGCTGTATATCATGTCACAATGCCTTATCACAAGAAAGTTAACTGATCTTGGCTTCTTTCATGTTGTTAGTAGAGGTTCAGTTTGCGAGCGCAGTTGTCTTTCCCCTTGATGGTACTCACACATATGGGGACAATACGCTATATTATCTTCTATGTTTATTATTCATTTATTATAATATTTCCTATTCCTTAATTCTATATAAACTTTCAGTGCCATTTTGTCCTCCCGGAAGAATCACATAACACGAATAATCTATAGTACATATTGTTATCGACTTGCTTCACGGTATCACTGTGACTAATACGAAAAAAATGATGTACAAATTAAAGGTAATAATCTAGGCTTCAGTCACCTTGGTAATGACATAAGTTCGAGCACTGATTCACAACTGCCAAAATATCAAAGTTATTTTACTTTTAAAATAACAACGGCATGAGTATAGGAACGTGCCCAAGACTCGAATAATAACCGTGCAGGAACTTGGCGCAGGTAACGATCACTGTTGAGAGAGAGAGAGAGAGAGAGAGAGAGAGAGAGAGAGAGCAAACAATGTGGGCAGGATTTTCTCACCTGCATTTTTCGCGCGTCCCGTGGTCCGTGGGTGACCAGGTAGCTCCCCGTACCCCACACACACACACACACTCCCCCAACACTGAAGCTATGTACGTGGCTATTTGGCAAGTCTTCTTTCAGTCCCTCTATTGTCTCCTCTACTCAATCTCTCTTCCATCACTGTAATTTACAATGAAACGCCTCCATTGGTTGTCTTTTCTCTATATTTCTCCTCCTTCCTTTGTTTACTCTGTTAGATAACCTTGGCCCTACTCTCTTTTACTCGTTATATTTATTCATACGGCCAAATTTGTATTAGACTTTACATGTTACCGAATATAAATATTTTTTAATGTTCTTTTATCAATAATCATCTCTCACTCTCTCTCTCACAGTAAGAATTCTCTATATATTCTCTTCAGTTATTTAAAACAGTCATTTCTTGGCAATATTTATCATTCCATCTATTCGCGCCCTGGAGAACAAATCACTCGTTCCATTACTTTATCTCTATGAACATTTGTTGATATGAAAAAACCGATTAGGAATTCAGAAAACTTAAAGAATTGTGTAATACGGCGTCACATCAACAGCCAGCTTCACCCACACACATTAAAGATATATCGCATCACCACGTCGACTATACACCAAAATGTCACCAAGGCAAGTCCAGGTTCCTCCTCCTCCACCACCACAGAGTTACCTGACAGTTATACACTTCATTGCCAAGTTTACATTTAGCGCCAGTAGTGCACCGCTGTAGTCATCCAACTCTTTAACACACTCCTTTGACACTACGATTTGTTTGATCCGAATATTTCACAACGTAAAGTTACAGTTCTGTAACACCCGGGGCATTGTTGTACACTTCCGTCATAAAATTGCCTTCAGTAGAGCATCTTGACGTCACACTCAAGTAATGTAGTCTTCATACTACATGGTATGAAGTCCTCTTACAGCGCCCTCTTCAGGTAGGAGCTCACTTTCCCCTGTACTCGCTCAAGCAAGTCTAACTCTTTCACCGCTAGTTTTTTGTGTACATTTTCTTCGATAAGTCACTACAGTATACCTGCAAGATGACGCATCAATCACGGTACTCCCAGAAATATAAAGGCGTCATAGGAACACATGTTTTAGCACTGGTTATTTATGAACTTCTTTTTCTTCAACAAGTGGCGGGAGTAGACAACCACGTCACTATAGATAACAATGACGCACAAATTCCATATTCTCACCAATATTAACCACGTAAATCTCTTCACGCGACCACCTGACACACTCACCGTCAGGAGCTGTAGTGTTCCTCGTCCCAGCACCAAGTCTCACTGATATCTGCCGAAGCCTAACCTTGGTCCCATGAAGAATCTGGCCAAGATGCCCAAATCCGCTAAAACGCCAACTTAGTCAAATATGTTTTGGAGTCGTCCCGAGGCTGAGTCATGCTCAAGGTGATGCACTAATGACTAGATTTTTTGGTGGTAGAGCAGCCGAAGTAAATGGATCAGTACGTTCTCTTTTAAAGGAAAGTATGCGACTAAAAAGACTTCAGCGTTCAACACTTTAAGGGGAAGAACTAGTGACGCTTCGACCGTACCAGCAACCTCATCGTCCCCCGCGTTTGTATCATAGGACGGAAAACAAAATTATAACCATCTGGCTCTTGAAAGAAAACGGATTGTAAATTCATATGCTTGCTAACATTGCAGTATATCAAATTATATATATCCCAAGGTTCCCAGTCACAGTAACTTTACATAACAACTTACGTAGGGCTTCATATATCCCTCCTTGAACGGGTGTGACCTTGGCGTCCCTATCTACAACTTTCCCTCGGAGTAAAAATAGTAACAACTCCTACGCCTTGAAGTGAATTTAAAGTCCAATGAGGTAAAGTTTTCGTCCGCGATCCAAAGGCAAGTTTTTCTTTCTATTTCAGTAATGGGAACGGATTTCTCTTCAGAATAGCTCTTTAATTCCCCTTGACTAGAGGACACACACACACTAGCACAAACTCAATCTCGCCCACACACCCACACACACACACACACACACACACACACACACACACACACACACACACACACACACTCCATCCTTCACAGATAGCCATCTTTATCTTACAAAAAGAATAGGGGTAGATGGAGTGTGCAAGACAAATATCACCTGAGCCAACTTTGTGACTCGTGACATTATGTTTCTGACGTGTGGGAGTAAAGATCTAGCAGTGAAAATATTGTTTAACCTTTTACTTCACAATCATGACAGACTAATGACGCTTCCACATTACTGTAGCTTATGGCTGCCTTGTACTCTGCTACACCACTGACCACACCCACCTGTTTTGAGTCCAGATTCTGATAGTCTTGAAGTTTTGAAGCTTTTCCTTAACTGGGGTATGAAAAAGCTTTATGCCACATGAAAAGTCTAAGAACGTATTCAACGAGACTCCTTTTTTAATTGTTATGTCTTGGCTTAATGAAGGAGTTGGATATTCTTTCACATATTCAATCGAAGGTGAAATTGAATTGAAACGTTGAAAAAAAAATCGAGTCCTGATCTAATAATCCTGAGAAAATGTGACTAGTGCAGTCAGGTATCTAGTACAGTGTTTCTCCTGCCAGCCACAACTACGCCTCTCGTGGGTCGTGTGGTCAGTGTATGAAGGTGAAACGTGGTTGAGAATAATAAGTCATGGTTGGAAAGTAACAACTCTGGAATCTAAATTTTGATGATAATTTTGCGTGTAATTTGCACATACATTATTTTTGTTCGAGATGATTATGAAACAAACTGAATCCATTTTCGAAGTGTTATGAATCTTCGATTAAGTCTTTTAAATATTTCCGATGATTCGAAAAGTATAAAGGCAAAGCAAAAAAATCCACATTGGTGACGTAGCGAAGATAAACACCTAAATAATGGTAAAAAGTACAGATAAAAGGTGTAACTGTTAACATTTTATTAATATGTTACAAGTTAAAGTGACACAAATATTTTATAAATTCGGGAAACATCAATACAGGGTAATGATACGAATATGGAGATTTTTATCAATTCAATCACGGCAGTAAAAGTACAGGTAAAATTGTATGTAACTTAGAATCAATATTACAGGAGCAGTGAGAGATACAAGTATAGTTACAGTAATGTTAATAATGGATTTACAGTATAATTCACCCGCCAGCTCAGGGTTGTTAAGGCGCCTCATTTCATCTCTGGGAAGCAAGTGATCACGACCTCTATAATCTCATTTACACTATGATCATTTACACTGTGTTTGGAGAGTAAATATTTACACCTCTTATGGTAGCTGAGAAGGTACTAGCTAAACAGGAAAATTGCCTTAAACCTTTCAGCGCTGAGGGTTTAGGCAGCGTTTGATATCTGGTCAACAGGTGGCGTCCGTGTGTTTATTTTGGTTTATAATCTGCTATATGATTGCATACAAGATAACACCAGATACTTAATCCCTGTTTAAGAATATCATTGATTAATCTATTTGTTCTCTGGTATATGAGGAGAGATAGCTATGGCAAGCGTGGTCTAAGATAGTCTCGACTATAATACACACGGATAAGAATGATGAAACTAGGTAACTTAGCTGTGCAATAAGAGATGGGTGTATGTCCTATATAGATATAATGACTTAGGAGTTGTAGGGGACGTGAGAGGAGAGAGACAAGGCTAAGATGATTTGACTTTGTGGTATGACTAGAGGAAGAGGGAGAGGAACACACACACACACACACACACACAGCACACACACACACACACACACACACACACACACACACACACACACACACACACACACACACACACACACACACACACACACACACACACACAGAAGAACGTGGTAAAGATGAACCCGAGAAGCTGACCCTTTCTGGATTAGCTAAAAGAATAAAAAAAATCTTATAAGACAGAGCAATACAAACATTCGTATCATGTAACAGAAATGAAAAAAGTAAATAGGTTTACTATCAAGACTTCTAGGCATATGGCCAGCTAAGTTGCTCAGTACTGAATCTGTCACATTAAATCGTGCTCACAGATATGCAGCTCAGAATAAGGTATGTGGAGAGGATTAACATCACTGAAACCATGAATTTCGAGCAATGAGATTTATGACACCATTGTGGAGAAGCGTACTATAGAATTTAGCGCCATATTGTCATTTTGTAAACAACGATATGTCAGATATGTGTTGATAATAACAGTGACAGTTGTTCCCGTAGGCCTGATAGTGCGAAACAATACACTGTAGACTATACTATTTATTTTAGGCACTACATCATCTTCACTTTCCTCAACTGTATAGACAAGTTCCCTATTCGCAGTCTGAGGAACCTGGGGTGACTTGGGGGCGAACCATCATCTCTTGATTCTTAAGACGAAAGGTGATTGTTGTAGCCACTCGTCAACCGCACCTCATGATAAGCTGTCATTATGTATACACGGTTGTGGTAAAAGTTTAATCGCATCATCTTGCTGTCATTAAAGTGTTGGTAATAACTTGTATGAAGTGTTGAACTCATAACGTTTTCAGTTAGGTTAAAAACTCATAAATACGTTTTAAGGAGGAATAAATTGATGTGATCCCGAGAAAAATGTGCTTGGCAACTTAATTTTTTTTATATTTTGATCTGGTTTAGTTGCCTTCCTTCCTCTTTTGTTGATGGTCATGTTATTGAAGATTCAAAAGTCAAATCCAAGGTTTTGAAGCTATTTTAATCACTAGGTATTGATAGCCTCAGATGCCTCCGAAAGACTTGATCCTAATATATATATATCTACCTTTATCCAACCTTCCTATTTTCTCCAAATCAGTTTGTTTCCCTTAAAAATGTGATGCATATTTATCAACAGCATATACACTTAGTAATTTCCCTGACTATCTCTCTTATTTACATACAATACAACTACTATTACTAATACTATTACTACTTCTACTACCACTACTACTACTAATAATAATTGTATGGTCTTTAATAGAACACAACACTGTTCCCTCACCTTCACACACAGTATCTGGCGGTGCTCACACAGATTTAACTCGGACAAACACTCGTGAGAAAGTAGTCAATGAACATTCCTGCAGGGGCGACACGACTCAGGTGAGTGAGTCAACTGCTGGAGGAGGTCCACCACTCCCCCGTGTACAACAGTGTATTTAAAGACTCTTGGTGGCATTTATACTGTGTACGTAATATACTGTATTAAGAGACTCATAAAGAGAGTGTGTGTGTGTGTGTGTGTGTGTGTGTGTGTGTGTGTGTGTGTGTGTGTGTGTGTGTGTGTGTGTGTGTGTGTGTGTGTGTAAATTGGAACTTGTTTCTAAGATAACTGACGATGTAATGATATAATTTACAGTAGATATAAAACATAGATGATGAGTTCTCGAGTATCATTAATTATAAGACAAACGAGGTCATTATACTCACATAGATAATTTATAAAGCAGGATTATCTTATCGCTAATTATAATACTTATTGAGGAGTCGTCAGGCGAATAATATAATAATTATATCCATCAATAAGAGATATCTATACACAAACTCTCATGGTGCCTCTAACAAAATATCCATACCAGTGTTAATACTTTAAATAAAATAGACCGAAATGTCAAACCCTAATGTTGTTTATATTCATGGGATAAATACCTAATGAAATCTTTTAAAAAAATCCATAAAATTATTTAAATTCGGCTTTGATAACACCTTATAAATTATGATACAAAATCGCTCTTCATTTAGCTTCGCATTTATCGTATGTGAATATTGCTAGACGTGGTGTTGGAGGATCTGCCAAGTTCATCATCCTAGTCAATCATTCCCAAAGGTGGATCATTCCTTTAGCATTACTATCGTGGCAGAGATCCAGCTAATTAGTTGAAACACACACACACACACACACACCACACACACACCACACACACACACCACACACACACACACACACACACACACACACACACACACACACACACACACACACACACACACACACACACACACACACATGTGATCACAGCTGGCCATTAGACCTGTCAAACTGTCAGATAAAAGTTTAAGGAATAGCTTGATAACTTAGGGTTTATTTTTTTTCATTTATGTTCAACATCATCTCTGAAAATATACAGTGAAGACCACCTTTGGTTTAGTTAGTTTTGGCAGACTTTAACCCTGACCCTGAACACCACACTGACCTTGACCCTGAACACCACACTGACCTTGACCCTGAACACCACACTGACCTTGACCCTGAACACCACACTGACCTTGACCCTACACTGACCTTGACCACCACACTGACCTTAACCACCACACTGACCTTGACCACCACACTGACCTTGACCCTGAACACCACACTGACCTTGACCCTGAACACACTTGACCACACTGACCTTAACCACCACACTGACCTGACCACCACACTGACCACCACCACACCCGACACCACCACACTGACCTTGACCACGACCACCACCACACTGACCTTGACCACCACACTGACCTTGACCACCACACTGACCTTGACCACCACACTGACCTTGACCACCACACTGACCTTGGACCACCACACTGACCTTGACCACCACACTGACCTTGACCTGACCTTGACCACCACACTGACCTTGACCACCACACTGACCTTGACCACCACACTGACCTTGACCACCACACTGACCTTGACCACCACACTGACCTTGACCACCACCACTGACCTTGACCACCACACTGAACCACTGAACCACCACACTGACCTTGACCACCACACTGACCTTGACCACCACACTGACCTTGACCACCACACTGACCTTGACCACCACACTGACCTTGACCACCACACTGACCTTGACCACCACACTGACCCTTGACCCTGAACACCACACTGACCTTGACCCTGAACACTACACTGACCTTGACCCTGAACACCACACTGACCTTCTCCCCTAAATCCCACAAAACCTACCTCAAACCCCACAAAACCTACCTTAAACCCCACAAAACCTACCTTAAACCCCACAAAACCTACCTTAAACCCCACAAAACCTACCTTAAACCACCACCTACAATCCCTTTTCAGCCCCTCACATGCTATAAGCCTTAATACAGTAAAACCTCCATTTAACGGACATTAATCTACTTATAACTGGTATACCCCTTATATGGAGGTCTCACATCTAACGGTTCTCGAGATAACGGACTACACTCTCCCCATATAATCCGGTAAATAAAGGTCTTCCTGTATAATATAACCCTCGTCCACCTACCTCCTGTGCCCTTGTACTCAACACCCCCTTCCTCCTCCTCCTTCAGTGACTTTTCTCATACCCTTTAAAGTCTTAAATTCTCTTCTGACCTTTTGATGCTTAATGACCTTACCTTTCACTCACTACCATCGAGACTCACCCCTCCGTCATAACTATCCCCAGAGGTTACAATATTAATTGATTATATTCGTTGGAAAGTCAAAGTCATATACAACACTCAGTTTGGAGAATAAAGTAAACAACACGTGGTCAGGATCCTCGGTAACATATTTATTATACTTTAATGGTACAGAGGTTATAAATGTTCTGTTTCATAGACGATACAAAAAATGGTATCAAAATAATTATCATAATAAAATAACACTATTATGGGTGAACGGCATTATTAATTCCATGAAAAATGCTATAAATATCCAAAAATACTTTAGAAGCACTTGCGGTGGACAATGCCGGGGCCAGACTCATCGTACTCCTCCTTGGTGATCCACATGGCCTGGAAGGTGGACAGAGAAGACAGGATGGAGCCACCGATCCAGACGGAGTACTTACGCTCGGGAGGAGCAATGATCTTGATCTTGATGGTGGAGGGAGCCAGAGAAGTAATTTCCTTCTGCATGCGGTCAGCAATACCAGGGTACATGGTGGTGCCACCAGAAAGAACGTTATTGGCGAACAGGTCCTTCCTGATATCAATGTCGCACCTCATGATGGAGTTGAAGACGGTCTCGTGGATACCAACAGATTCCATACCCAGGAAGGAAGGCTGGAACAGAGACTCGGGAGCACGGAAACGTTCGTTGCCGATGGTGATGACCTGACCGTCGGGAAGTTCGTAGGACTTTTCAAGGGAGGATGAAGCAGCAGCCACGTTCATCTCACTCTCAAAATCGAGAGCTACATAGCAAAGCTTTTCTTTGATGTCACGAACGATTTCTCTTTCAGCTGTAGTGGTGAAGGAGTAGCCACGCTCAGTCATGATCTTCATCAAATAGGCAGTTAAGTCACGACCAGCCAGGTCAAGACGCAGGATGGCGTGAGGAAGAGCATAACCTTCGTAGATGGGGACAGTGTGAGACACGCCATCACCAGAGTCCAGCACGATACCTGTGGTACGACCAGAGGCGTACAGGGACAGCACGGCCTGGATGGCCACGTACATGGCCGGAGTGCTAAAGGTCTCGAACATGATCTGGGTCATCTTCTCACGGTTGGCCTTGGGGTTGAGGGGAGCCTCAGTGAGGAGGACGGGGGACTCCTCAGGGGCAACACGCAGTTCGTTGTAAAAGGAGTGATGCCAGATCTTCTCCATGTCGTCCCAGTTGGTGATGATGCCGTGCTCGATGGGGTACTTGAGAGTCAGGATACCTCGCTTGCTCTGGGCCTCGTCACCGACGTAGGCGTCCTTCTGACCCATACCGACCATCACACCCTGGTGACGAGGACGGCCGACGATGGAGGGGAATACGGCGCGGGGAGCGTCGTCGCCGGCGAAGCCAGCCTTGACCATGCCGGAGCCATTGTCCACAACCAGGGCACACGTGTCGTCGTCACACATGGTGGTGGTTTAGGGCCGTATACAGCACTCTGAAACATAGTAGAGATGATTAACATGTGTAAATTTCTTCTAAATGAAATTTAAAGTAAAACTGAAGAAAACCTTCCGGTGCTAGTTTTGTTGTTCTTTCTCAGTATCTTTGACTCTTAGATATTTATTCGAAATATAATTGCTCTTGAAAGATCTTTGAGTTTTCATTATCAAATTTCTAAAATTCTTAATTTTTGAAGTGTCTGACTAATATAATATTTGTAACAAGATATTTATCAATAATTATTCTTTAACCTAAATATAATAACAGGTAAACACAGAACACATAATGACAATAACAAATGATTAAAAACAATAAAAAAATAGATAAAACAAGTTACACTCGAGGAAGGTAACGACTGTAGGCGTGTGGTAAATTTGTCAAGGTTGGGAATTTAACCTAATACCTTTTGGCCCCAAAACATACAAGCTATAAGGGTTGTCAACGTTGATATGCTTAATGTACATTAATTTTTTTTTTAAATCTGTTGAAGAGATGCTCGTATGCTGAACGTGCATATTGAGATGGTTAATTGGATGTATTGATATATTCAGATAGCAGTGACCACCTTTCTCGAACGAAGATGTCAGTTCGACTAAAAAGGCATTGCCGGTCGTCTCACAGAAGGTGTTACCGTAGATATGGAGTGACACTGACACTGTTTATGTAAGCGTTGCTCCTGACACTGAAGAAGTAGTAAATTTAGTGCCACGATAGGGCCAAGTGAAGTAAGTGTCTTACGCTGATTTTCACAAGTACCTGATGACAGTAGAAGTATGGAGTGACAGTGACACTGTGTGCGTGAGGGGAGAACACCTCGTACTGTTGAGAGGAAATACACCTCGTGTCCCTACAGGGGAAAATGGCAGTATATGGCAACTGTACTATATAGGTAGGGTTAAGGTTTGCTGCCTGACGCTTACTGTAGGAGAGACTAGGACGAGGTGTGACGCCCTGGAGGAGGAGAAGGACGTCGTGGTGGGAGTGGGAAGATGGGGTGAGAAGGAAGGCGGAGGGAAGGAGGATGAAGGAAACAGAACTGAGGGAAGAGAGGCAGAATGAATTGGGGTGGAGCGAAAGGGTCAGTCAGGGGTTTGATGAAGGTCATGATTAAGAGTGGCAACTGAGTAAAAATTGTCATTGCTTTAATTTTTTCCAAGATTAAGGTCCTCATCTGCCAGGGTTATTAAGCAGGGTCTTCAGGTCTCAGTGTCTCACAACAGAGGCATCATAAGGGACAGTTGATTGGAGGTTATGAGCAGGCAATAATGAAGTAGACTGAACCGAGATGAAGGAGGGGGGGGGGTAATACGGAGGGTGAAGTAAAGAAGGGAAGTGAAGCAGGGAGAATGAGGAGGAGAACAGAGTAAAAAAGTAAAAGAGGGAAGAAGAGTGATGGGGAAGGGTGAAGTCAGAGAGGAAGGAAGTTCGGAGAGCGTAATAGTCCGGAGGTGGAAGGGGTGGGCGGGGATGAGAGGTATGGGCGGCGTAATAACACGGAATGGGGGCGGAGCTTTGAGCTAATGCTACCTTCCGTCCTGCCCCTCTGAACACCACCGCCCACACCCTCACCTAACACCATATAAGGACATGATGCTTCCGTTCTATATATACGTCCACCAGCGGTGTTTTAAATCAGTGACAGTATTCCTTCGTACTTCTCATAATGTCTAGTTTTTCTACTTTTATAACTTTATTACCAATATTATAATTACTGTACATGATAAATATGATAATAATGATAATGATGATAACGCTAATGATGATAATAATAATAATAATAATGAAATCAAATACTTGCATATAATGAAGTAGGTTTTGTTTCGCTGGTATAAGGTTAAGAGACTTTGATTCACACAAACACAAGTCACCAACACACCCACACTCCCACAAGTACATGTCACCAACACACCCACACTCCCACAAACACAAGTCACCAACACACCCACGCTCCCACAAACACAAGTCACCAACACACCCACACTCCCACAAACACAAGTCACCCACACACCCACACTCCCACAAGTACAAGTCACCCACACTCCCACAAACACAAGTCACCCACACACCCACACGTACAACCCACACTCCCACAAACCCAAGCACACACCCACAAGCACAAGTCACCAACACACCCACACCCACAAACCCAAGTCACCCACAAACACAAGTCGCCCACACACCCACACTCCCACAAGTACAAGTCACAACACACCCACAAACACAAGTCACCCACACACCCACACCCCACAAGTGCAAGTCACCCACACTCCCACAAACACAAGTCACCCACACACCCACAAACACAAGTCACCCACACACCCACACTCCCACAGTACAAGTCACCAACACACCCACAAACACAAGTCACCCACACACCCACACACCACAACACAAGTCACCCACACACCCACACGTACACGTCATCCACACTCCCACAAACACAAGTCACCCACACACCCACACTCCCACAAGTACAAGTCACCAACACACCCACACTCCCACAAGTACAAATCACCCACACACCCACACTCCCACAAACACAAGTCACCCACACTCCCACAAACACACAAGAACGATGTACTCACTGATGTCGAATTCTGAGCCCGATGAAGACTGAGGGTCCCTCCTGTACCACATCACCTTATATAGGGTCCCAGGTGATAAAAAAATGTCTTTTTTTAGCCGAGATCCTTCCCTGTCGCCAGTGGCATTTCTTCGACCTTCAAAAGGAAGTCTGTGCCACCCCACCTCCCCAAGGCCTTTAAAGGAAGTTACTGTCGAGGAAGATGTCTGTGAATAATACGGAAATGCCTTAGCCAGACGTGTCCCTTACTGTACACCGCCAGTTCTCTAGGAATAGAAAAATCTATGAAACGTACGATTTTCCTTGGAAGTTTCCCGTCGCTTAATTAAGAAACAACAGTGGAGGTACAGGTGCAGAGACATGACTAGACAAAGAGATTTCAGAATAGTAACAGTACATTAACATTACTGATGAGTAACGTATTATTATGACATTATTAAGTATACATAGAAAATTATATAAGGGAGCTAGGTTAATATTACTGACACCGGTAATGTCCACCAGCTTGAAATTTAGTGAAGTAACCTTATGTGGCAGATATCATGTTATATAATACACGTTCAGGACCAATGAATGTGTTACGTCACCTTACCACGTAAACCAACACCCGAGAAGGGGAGGGTGGGGGGGGGTGGGGGGTACATATCCACGCCTCAGAGCCACTTATCTGAGGCTGTGAGTTTAATATATGACAGGTTGTGCATCTGGTGTTGGTGGTAAATATTACTGATGATGTAAATATGTTTCCTCCGTCTTCACACGTCAACAGATACTGAGTGGTAAACAAGGATGACTCGAAGCTAGAGGTATCTGAGGTGAGGGGAGCCTTGTGGGTGATAGAGGGTGAGCTGGTGGCGTATAGCTAGGTGGTGAAGTGTGTGTATGGTCACCACCAGGACGTGGATCACAAATAGAGAGTTGATTCAGAAACATCGGCATGAGAAGTACATCAACATTAGCAGTAGTAGAGGCAATGTAATTAAAATCGATTAATAATTCCATGTACTTAGTAGTATATGTTATCTTACTTGTAGGTGACATATATAAGTGACTTGTAGCTGGTGAACGCTATTACCACTACAAGTTACATCATAATCACAATAGAAAAGAAAATATGCAAGTGTGATCGATTTTTCTGTTAATTGGCAGAAGAAGGTAGCCGGTAGCTTATTAAATCTCAATACTATTCATGAGGAGTCGAACCCGGGACGTGGTGATAGAGAACACCATGCATACACAAGCATCCCATCCCCTTGTGAACGTTACCTTTCATTATGGTTTATCTTAGAATAATAATACGATTTTTAAAAGAACAAAGAAAAAAAAATAGTAATTAAAATTGTTATTCTCAATCCTCACTGACCTACACAACCCTCGAGCAGGTGCCACATCTTACCAAGAGTACAGAAAGAATGTTGTCTGTAGGTCTCCGTTGAATCTAATTAGTGATTAAGTGTAGTTAACAATCTAACATAAGTGTACCTGTAACTTTATATTTAACACAATTTTTTTGCATTGTTTTTGAGACGACTAAACAAGGTGACGTACTAACTGTACTAACAAGATACATAATAAGGGCTTACTTACAAGAACGATATTATTTTATTTGTATGTATGACTGTACCTGTGTTGTTGTTTCTAAATTACTGAAATATTAAGACTAACTGAACAATACCGCTGCAGTCTATTGATGAGAAAGCGCGGATGAACTTTTTTTATTTCGAGTATTGGATCACCTGATATATTATACACCCAATGTTATTTCACCTGAAGTTTAAACACCCTGATGCTCACCTAACCTAACCTCTCAGATACATAGCATAAGGGAGTTTAATCATCAGGTGAAATTAAGCTGAGGTGCCTAATCTTCAGGTGATCTCGAGTATGTAAGACAGGGGGAGGCAGAGTGTTTCTAGGTGACGGAAATTATGGGATTGAGAAGACGAAAAATAGTGTTTGATCATTGTGTCTCGTGAGTGGTGAGGGAGGTAACTGGTGAGGGAGGTAACTGGTGAGGGAGGTAACTGGTGAGGGAGGTAACTGGTGAGGGAGGTAACTGGTGAGGGAGGTAACTGGTGAGGGAGTTAACTGGTGAGGGAGGTAACTGGTGGTGAGGGAGGTAACTGGTGAGGGAGGTAACTGGTGAGGGAGGTAACTGGTGAGGGGTGAGGGTAACTGGAGGAGGTAACTGGTGAGGGAGGTAACTGGTGAGGAGGTAACTGGGTAACTGGTGAGGGAGGTGAGGGAGGTAACTGGTGGGGAGGTAACTGGTGAGGGGTGAGGAGGTAACTGGTGAGGGAGGTAACTGGTGAGGAGTTAACTGGTGAGGAGTTAACTCAGAGAGGTAACTGATGAGGGAGTTAACTGGTGAGAGTTAACTGGTGAGGGAGTTATTTGGTGAGGGAGGTAACTGGTGAGGGAGGTAACTGGTGAGGGAGTTAACTGGTGAGGGAGGTAACTGGTGAGGGAGGGTGTGGCTGTTACTTGAGGTGACAGGGATATGAGTCAGGGTGTGGTTGTTATTTGAGGTGACAGGGGAGTGAAGCAGGGTGTGGCTGTTACCTTTGGTGTCAGGGGGGTGGCTGTTACTTTAGGTGACAGTGATGTAAGGCAGGGTGTGGCTGTTACTTGGGGCGACAGGGAGGTGAGGCAGGGTGTGGCTGTTACTTGGGGCGACAGGGAGGTGAGGCAGGGTATGGCTGTTACTTGGGGCGACATGGAGGTGAGCAGGGTGTGGGCTGTTACTTGTGGTGACAGGGAGGTGAGGCAGGGTGTGGCTGTTACTTGTGGTGACAGGGAGGTGAGGCAGGTGTGGCAGTGGTGTGGCAGGGTGTGGCTGTTACTTGTGGTGACAGGGGAGGTGAGGCAGGGTGTGGATGTTACTTGGGGCGACAGGGAGGTGAGGCAGGGGTGTGGCTGTTACTTGGGGCGACAGGGAGGTGAGGCAGGGTGTGGCTGTTAATTGGGGCGACAGGGAGGTGAGGCAGGGTGTGGCTGTTACTTGTGGTGACAGGGAGGTGAGGCAGGGTGTGGCTGTTACTTGTGGTGACAGGGAGGTGAGGCAGGGTGTGGCTGTTACTTGTGGTGACAGGGAGGTGAGGCAGGGTGTGGCTGTTACTTGTGGTGACAGGGAGGTGACGCAGGGTGTGGATGTTGGCGGAGCTGCACACCTCCAGCCGTCATTTCATTACTACCTCTTTGTCAACTTGTCAGCAAACTTCCCACCGCATCAGAGTCACTTTTTTCTGCTTGACGTCTGAGTGATCACTCTAGACTTACTCACCAAGTTCGTGAAATTGGTTCTCAACTTAACCTAATTCAAAGTAACGTAACGTAATGTAACCTAACGTAACGTAGCGTAACCTAATCAAACCTAACCTAACATAACCCGACCCGACCGATTCCAACCTAACTAAACTTTGCCTAGCTTAGCCTAATCTAGCCTAACTTAATCCAACCTAATTTAACCTTGGCGAGATTATGAGCCCATTAAGCGAACTGGGCAAAATGACCTAACCTAACCTAACCTAACCTAACATAATATAGGTTATATTAGGTTGGGATAGTTTGAAAGCCCATTTCACGAGCTGGGCAAAATGTCTTGTGTATGTTGAGGTATGTAGTTTTAAGTAGTAACTACAACGATCTTCTTCTAATCAGGGGATGTGCCTGGGCAAAATTATGGAATCGATAATTTATTAAATAATATTTACCTCAATCCAATTATAAATTTTGAGGAAAGTTAGAATTTAAGCAACTCGAGAGAACTACTTGTATGGTTGAACTTCTTGTGCAAAATGAGATACTTTGAATAATAACGTCAGTGCCTCTTTCTCTTATTGATGTATTGCTGGTCTTCCACATATATAATTATTATCTTTATTTTTCTGGGTTTTTGCATTTCAGTTATTATACGTCTTTGGATATACATTTCAGACTGAAGGATTCATTAAAAAAGTCGTAAAATTCATAGAAAGTATAATTGTATTTAGAAAATATAATAATAAATACTGAAACAAAGGATTATGGTAAAGAGACGGAGATGTGTTGGGGGGAGATCCGATGAAAAACTATTGCACATTTCCTGAGTCACCATTGAAATGTAAATGAAGAAGTGAATACAATGGTAAACTTGTTGTGGTTTTTCAGGAAATCTTGCAAAGTTTTGAGGCATTTGTATCGGCATGTTACATTATAAGGAAACACTTGTAGCTTCTTAGGATTCCACGAGAATTCAGAGTACCGGCTTCCTTAATTTCCTTAGTTTAACAAAAATATTTAATGGGGTAAACTGTTACAATGGACAGCGTCAGAATGTGTATTATTTGAATGTACTTTAGTTCTTTAGAAGCACTTGCGGTGGACAATGCCGGGGCCGGACTCGTCGTACTCCTCCTTGGTGATCCACATGGCCTGGAAGGTGGACAGAGAGGCCAGGATGGAGCCACCGATCCAGACGGAGTACTTACGCTCGGGAGGAGCAATGATCTTGATCTTGATGGTGGAGGGAGCCAGAGCAGTGATTTCCTTCTGCATGCGGTCAGCAATACCAGGGTACATGGTGGTACCACCAGACATGACGTTGTTGGCGAACAAATCTTTTCTGATATCAATGTCGCACCTCATGATGGAGTTGTAGACGGTCTCGTGGATGCCAACAGATTCCATACCCAGGAAGGAAGGCTGGAACAGAGACTCAGGAGCACGGAAACGTTCGTTACCAATGGTGATGACCTGACCGTCGGGAAGCTCGTAGGACTTCTCAAGGGAGGAGGAGGCAGCAGCCACGTTCATTTCACTTTCAAAATCGAGAGCTACATAGCAAAGTTTTTCTTTGATGTCACGAACGATTTCTCTTTCAGCTGTAGTGGTGAAGGAGTAGCCACGCTCAGTCATAATCTTCATTAGGTAGGCAGTCAAGTCACGACCAGCCAGGTCAAGACGCAGGATGGCGTGAGGAAGAGCATAACCTTCGTAGATGGGGACAGTGTGAGACACGCCATCACCAGAGTCCAGCACGATGCCTGTGGTACGACCAGAGGCGTAAAGGGACAGCACGGCCTGGATGGCCACGTACATGGCTGGAGCACTGAAGGTTTCAAACATGATCTGGGTCATCTTCTCACGGTTGGCCTTGGGGTTGAGGGGAGCCTCAGTGAGGAGGACGGGGGACTCCTCAGGGGCAACACGCAGTTCGTTGTAGAAGGAGTGATGCCAGATCTTCTCCATGTCGTCCCAGTTGGTGATGATGCCGTGCTCGATGGGGTACTTGAGAGTCAGGATACCTCGCTTGCTCTGGGCCTCATCACCGACGTAGGCGTCCTTCTGACCCATACCGACCATCACACCCTGGTGACGAGGACGGCCGACGATGGAGGGGAATACGGCGCGGGGAGCGTCGTCGCCGGCGAAGCCAGCCTTGACCATGCCGGAACCATTGTCCACAACCAGGGCACAAGCGTCGTCGTCACACATGATGGTGATGAGTTATTTGGTAGAGGATCTGTTGAAAGAAAGTTGATGAATATCATACAGTTGATGACCTTGTAATATTAATCTAATTTTAAACAATGTTCTTCGTCTGAATTTAACTTCATGGCTCTTATTCACTTACATTCTTTTCTGAGATATAATAGGCTGGCAGGATGGCAATATCAATGGCATGCTAGACCACTTTGACAATACCTTTAACTGTTAGGAATAAGGATACAAGTTCTGAAATTTCTTATCTTTGACTTAGCCAAACAAGTAATAATAGTTAGGATATTGTTCTAATATTTGATTTATCATTTATAGATTAATTTCTTAACTGGTATTATGTTTGGTTATAACAAGTAGTGTTTGTATTCTATATAATCATTAGCGTCCATATTACTAACTCGTAAAGTCTTCTTAATGAGTATCTTTTCATCAGTTATTGACATATTAAGGTCGACACTCGGTCAGATACACTTAATAATGGTTGAACTTCACGTAGTTCTATAAGTCCTTACTCCATATACAGTAAGTGTGTGTAACAGACTAATGACCCTAAAACACTGAACCTCGTCACAGTCATGAGATAACAACTTAAACGTATTTTTTTATTTAATTCAGTATGACAAATAAAAGAAAATCACACGCTGGGAAAAAAAAATTAACGTTATCTTCTTATTATAAACTTTATACCATTACGAAAAGTGTATCCATATAATTCACTTTTTTTTTATGATGAGATTTTACGTCACATGTAAGTCCACTCGTATCTTATCTTTAACACTGTACTAACACTATAAACACTTAAGATTACAAAAAAAAAAAAAAAAGACAAGGCTTCACCACCACCTACAGTATGGGCTGTTTCCTGAGTCCGCTGTAGACTAAAGGTAGACGCCTGTCCATTCCCCCTTATATACATGCTCGGGGTTCTCAGAAATATCACCTCACAACGAAATCCAGTGTTGAAAACCCTCTTTGGCATCCCCTCCACTTGCCTTGTGTTTACAGTATGACCAAAAAAAGCACGTCTTGTGGTCTGCAGCTCGAGGTACCAGGATCCCGTCACACCCACATCCACACCCTAACACGCCCACCCTCTCCCTCTCTTTCTCTGCTCCCTCCTCCTCCCTCGTGTGTTTGGATTTCCCGAAATATCTCCCTTACTAGACTCTTCTTTATATAGACTCTTAAAGGAAGCTCCGAAAATGGTATGTCTTTGTTCACTTTACCTTAAACAAATGACTGTTCTGATTCTATACAAAGTTCGGTTGGTATTCTGTATAATAAAAACTGTACAGGGGAGACGAGAAAAACACTCAGGGATGAAGTACACAAAAAAAAAAGATAATCTATCTTCCTAACGACTAGACTCACCCTTAGGAAGTGAGAGAAAGGGGGGGAAGGAAGGGAGGAGACGAAGGATGGAGGGATGGAGGGAGGGAAGGAAGGAAGGATAGGGAAAGGGAGGGAAGGAGGAAGGGGAAGACCAGTAAAAACTCTCAAAAGCCAACTGCCGCGTGTAGAACCTGGCAACTGTGAGTACGACAATTTTTCTTACACAAAGGAAGTTAATGGCACATCAAATGAACGTGTTCGGTGATGCAGTAATGCCAGACACACTAAAGCTACCTTGATTTACTTTACATAAATTAATAATATACAATACACTGAAAGTCAAGGCAAATACAGATTCCTCGATTCACTTTACGAAAACGTATTAAGTAATGTGTTTAATGCTCAGAAAAATTAATACACCTTGATTTACTTTTGTCTCCTAACAATGGAAACCTTCTCCTCTACTACGCGATGTTTTTGTAACAATGATAACAATAATTAAGAGAAGCGTGTAAATGTTTTTGTGCGTCGTACACGTTCGAGGGCGGGGCCAGACGTCTGAGACAAGTATAAATGTAAACATCACGGGTAAAGCTGTTATGCCAGGGTACAACTGAAGCCCCGACAGTGTACACCTTTATAACTGCGCCTACGTCTTGTGCCTAAACCTAAACTAGAATAGCATCTAATATTTCTGAAAAAAAAGTTTATTACTGATTATGTTATGGTAAGTCAGAACAAATTACATGATAAAAATGATCTTTATGCCCAAATGTCTAAACTTCTCTTGTGAAATAGATTTAAGGAAGTTACTAATTCATTATACATAATTACTTAGGTATATTAAGCACAGTTTAGAACATAGATATAAGGGAATTACAATGATGACAGACTTACAAGTATAATCACAGTATAACCACGATATTGAGGCAACAAACTCATTTTACTTTGATTATACTGAGTGAAATTTTTTACACGCAGAACTTATTGGCGTGTGTGTGTGTGTGTGTGTGTGTGTGTGTGTGTGTGTGTGTGTGTGTATGTATGTGTGTGTGAGTTTGTACCTTTGAATGCATATACTGTATCTATAATCCACAAGGAAATATAACTTTACAGAGGACATGATCATCAGAATCATAGAGACATGAGTCGGCCCGTAACCATCACCTGCCAGACTAGACCGTTTTCTCTCAACACGGGGCGATGGCTGATGGATGTAATTTTAGACCCATGCGTAATAATGTAATAAACACGGGTCCGGATTCTCTAAGATTTCCACGTTATGTCTTTCCCGTTTCCTATTGAACAAGAGAACAGAACTACCTATGGTATAATCTCATTGGAATTCACACGTCAGTTGTTTGGGTTTAATATCTTTGTTTACTATGTGAGTAGATGCGTCTGTGTTCATATTTCACGTGTTTAGGTGGAACAGTTAACGTTGGATGCTATGAGAAGTTGATCTAGTGAGAGACAGTTAACCTAGTAGTGAATTATGGACGTAGAGAGAGAGTAGTTGTGCCTCTGTAGCGTCTTCACTTCATCCTTCACCAAGTCTTCTGTCAAAAGGAAATTCAGTCATGTTAATCACTTTAGTACAAGTACATGTGAAACGGGATGATGTTATTAATCAGAGAATAAATTTTACCATTGCGGTTTTTTTTTCGTGTTTGGTTATTGGGTTTCTTTGTGACTGCTAATAATAGTTATGTTTGTTAAGCCTTTACCTTTTATGGGATAATTAAGACACGCAGATTGTATTTATAGATGTATTTATGGCGGGTTTTTGTAGATGTAACCACAATTATGTTTCGAAGAGGAAGGAAGAAAAAGTCTGAAATATCCACGAGGTAAACAGACAAAACAAATAATTTAAGTCGAAAATGTAAATAGTTTAAGAAGCTGGCATATTGTTTTGTTGAATTAATCAGTATGAACACAATTACAGAACCACAACTTCACTGATTTAGGTTTTATAAAGTAAAGATGTAATGCATAATATTCTCTGTGGACTTACCAGAGGGCAGCTGCTATACACTCAAGTCTTAACGTGACATAAGACATAATCCTACTTCACATCCCCTGTACATCACTGACGTCATCCTCCAGGGCAGACAACCAAGGAGCACCTGTCACAATCACTTCTCTAACATCACCATCATTCTCATCTCACTCCTCACTATCACTCGTCATTCATCATCAACACTCTCCCATCTATTATCACAACAAGTATATCCTCACTCTCAGTGTAGTCTTGCCCTGTCTTAGCTCATATCATTCAAGTCCTCGTGGTCACAACTTGTCCTCGATTACGAAAACTTTGTCATATATCACTTGGCTATAAACAGGATGTGATAATAATCGTCAGGTGGAAATACAAAACACGGGGATTTTATTGGTTCTCGTCTTTTAATGCCCGGGAAACACGGACCAATAAGCAGCTTTGTTTACTGGCCTCGACCAATCCGGTACCACATCGGGGTTGGAGGAGGGGGTTGTAATCATGACGTCACTTTCTTAAATTCAATAAAATAGGGTTGTATGTAGAGTTTGATTAAAGAGTTTTATTATTTACAAGATTCTGATAATACAAACCCTTGACATTCTGTTGAGACATTCCTTTAGCCTATTTTACCATTTGTTAAACTCGAGAAGGTAAACAATAAAGTTAAGGTATATGTTATTTGTGGTGTAAATGATCCTGAAAAATTAGAGTTTCATTCATTTAACATCTGATTATTAATGTAGTACGGCAAGTCGATGATATATAACTGAATCATATATAAGAGTTAAGGTTCTTTTACCATTAGACTCATTAACCGTAAGTAAATGACACGAGACTTCGATGATTATGTTGTGTCACGATTGCTCTAACGCTCCTTTGGCTGATCAGTCAGACAGTAGCTAAAGAGAGAGTTATTCGTGTGGGAGATGGTCTTGTGGGTGATCTCAGACCGTGTGTAGTATTTGAACACTAATGTACAACACTGGGAGTCGTACATGTCCTCAGAGTGTAAGCGAGTCCAACACGGTCCGCCTGTCCATGGAGGGAAGTTTGTGTGTGTGTGTGTGTGTGTGTGTGTGTGTGTGTGTGTGTGTGTGTGTGTGTGTTTTATTGATTGGAAAAGTTTGTGGTACATTTTAGTGGTAATTAACACCTGGCTATGTTATTAGATATCAACTTAGGAACAGAACTAACACTCAAATCATCGTACAGGTGTAAATCACTGATCTTCAAGGTGTGTTGTCATTATCCTCTCACAGGAGAACATAACAGAGACATGTATAATTTCGGTTACGTCTTGACATCTATAAATACCACTTAGGTCTTGAGCCAGCTGGGACGTGTCTGGACTGGGAAAGACAGTTGGTAATGAGGGCACAGGTGGGCGTGGTGGGTGGGCTCAGCATGGGTGGTGAAAGGGCAAGACGGGAGTGACAGGGTAGGCTGGAGGGCATGACAGGGTAGAAAGGAGGGCATGGCGGGGTAGAAAGGAGGGCATGACAGGGTAGAAAGGAGGGCGTAGCATGGTAGGCAGGAGGGCGTGGCAGTCAAAAGTCGTGAAGAATAGGACTGTATAACCATTTGTTGACATAACGCTTCTGGCATCACCACTCACCACCTCCTCCTCCTCCTCCCCCTCCACCACTCCTCACCCACCTCCACCTCCCCCACCTCCACCTCCCCCACCACCTCCTCCACAACCCCTCACCCCCACCTCCTCCTCCACCAGCACCACTCTCCTCCTCCTCTTACACCTTCTGTCATAACCAACATCTACCTTTTCTCCACTCTGAGGCAGCGGCAGCAGCTATTTCCACTCCTACTGAGTGTCCTGCGTCACCTGTGCTTCACGCCCCTCTTCCCCTTCCCTCCTCCTCCCCGTAGTGATGCACTTATAAGGTGATGACCACTACCAAGTCACCTTCACAAAACATCAAACAATATTAGGTGTCTTGTTATTATTACGTCATTACCTGAAGTACGAGAGAGAGAGAGAGAGAGAGAGAGAGAGAGAGAGAGAGAGAGAGAGAGAGAGAGAGAGAGAGAGAGAGAGAGAGAGAGAGAGAGAGAGTTATTAAACCCTATATATGTATTTATTTCTTGTGTTCTGGTTTATGTACTACAGTGTTTTATTTCCTATGGTTTATGTACTTAACTCCCATAAATAAACCAAAAAAACATAATATAAACAAATACGTAGATAATTACAGTGACCCCGTGAATCATTACTATTAAAAGAACACAAGAGTTTGAGTTATAAATATTTACTACGTAACAGAAGCGAGAGAAGATAAGGCCCAGTGTGTACAGGGAGAGACGACCGTGAAGGGTGGGGGGGAGGTGTCTGGTGGCGTTGGTACTGATGTTGGTGGGTTATGGTGATGGTGGTTGTTGTGGGGTGTTGGTGGGTTATGGTGATGGTGGTTGTTGTGGGGTGTTGGTGGGTTATGGTGATGGTGGTTGTTGTGGGGTGTTGGTGGGTTATGGTGATGGTGGTTGTTGTGGGGTGTTGGTGGGTTATGGTGATGGTGGTTGTTGTGGGGTGTTGGTGGGTTATGGTGATGGTGGTTGTTGTGGGGTGTTGGTGGG